ATTTTAGTCAAAACACTATATTTGCCTTTTTCTCCATAAACAACTTTTAGACTTAATCCTTGTTTCGATGTGACGGCTCACATATTTTATTCTCGACTCCTAAAAGTGATTAAAAATCATGTCTGCTCCACATGAATGGGAAACATGCAGATACTGAATTATTATTGTAAATGAGTAAGTTAGACCTTAGTATTATCATTCTTAGAGTATTTACTGAAACATGAGAAGCTGCTGAAGCATCAGGTTGCTGCCAAACGTCCATCAGAAGGTGACTGTTCAGCTCCAGTCAGTTCCTCTGTGATTCACTGGTCAGCTGTGGCAGGGGGCCGGCTTCAGTTCGGGGAACATCCAGTGACGCAGACAGTAATTAAAGACATCAGTGTTGTCTGCACCTCAAATTAAAAAAAAAAAACTTGCAAACGAGAAGGATTTGCATAGCTACAGGCAGGACTCACACACAGTGTCACCCACGCTCCTCAGTCAGTCCACATCAACACACCCTCATTACTCACTGAGACCCACTCTGGTCTCAAGTTCACTCCCAGCATGGAACCCCCTCTGTTTACGCCCTCTTTACAAAGTCTCAGCCAATGAAAATGTTTGTGTTATTTATTGTTCTGTCCAGAATCAGGGAACTGAGTTGTTGAGTTGTAGTCAGTGTAATATATATCAGGATGGTATGTGTGTTGTTATTAAGTGTTAATGGTTTTGTTTTTGTTCTTTTCTCTTCTGAAACTCGATGTTCTTCTTCCCATGCCTCTGTTAGATGCATTGCTTTTTCCTACATTACCTGTTGGCTGCCAAATGGTCACATAACACTCTTTGTGTCATCTGTATACACAGAAAGCTAAATATACAAACTAAATTCTGTAATATTTGAGATGTTTTTGAACATTGTGAGTTAAAACAGAATGCAATGATTGGAAAATTTCATAAACCCATATTTTACTCACAACAGATCAAGTTTCAAACAAGAGAAACGTAGATATTTTTCAGGGGTATTTGATAGGAACACATCACAGAAATGTTGAGACAATGGCAACATAAAGCTGTAAAAGTAAAACATTTGTACTGAAGAGGAGAGAGACGATCAAGTTGTCCTGATGCAGCTCAATAATCCAGATAGAAAAATCTAAATCTACACAAGTTCTTCTTTGTTGAAAGTTTTSTCTCTTGTTCAGTCAGAGGAGTTYCAGGTAAAAACTCAGGCTGATGTTCTAGTTTACTGTGTGAACTAGGGCTGCAACTAAATACTGTTTTGAAAGTCGACTAATCTCTGATTATTTATTTTAATTAGTCCATTAGTCAGCAGTTATCTCTGTCACAACTAAGAAAAACAGGATGAAAAACTGTTAGCCAGAAAACCAAGTTCATTCTCTTCTAAGAGAAATGTTCTACTTCAGATCTGTAACTGTCCCAGTGCCTGTTGGTGGTCCTGACTCTTCTCAGAAAACAAAAACAAGACCCTCTCTCCAGTTCATCTTTGTTCATCAMAACACTGCACCTTTTAATAGTGTCATAACTTAGAATACCTCTGAAAATAACAGTCTAAAGAGGAAAAATCACCTCCTTTAACTTTTTCTAACAAAGTCCTGATGGACAAACCTCATTGTGTGACTGTTCTATCAATTCAAGTTGTGTAACTAGACAATTCCTTAGGAATCACCCTCTTCAGTTGTTATCATCCATTAAATGGACGTTATTAGCCATTATCAGTCCCATAGAATGGCTTCAGACTGTCAGCTGGTTAATATGAGGCACAAAGCCACTAAGGTTACTTTTAGAGAAAATGACATGGGCTACGATAAAGTAGACTGAACTCCATTGTTGCATTCCAACGTATATATGGCACTGGTACCCCACTAGGGGGCACTGTCAGGACAGTCTGAAGCCATTCTATGGGACTGATAGCTGCTAATAACGTCCATTTAATGGACTGATAACATCAGAACCGGCTGTAGGAAATGTTTGTTCACATAATCTTAATCACAGCATGACAATAAACAGATTGAACATTGGTTATAGGAATATTCTGACCATCTCAAGCATAATTATATGAAATGCATTTACAACTCAATGGAAATAAACACATTTCCTTCACTACGTCTATCTACGTTTCCTATGGGCACAGTTCTTGCTCCAGCTCCAGTCTACATCTCTTTTCATCTCTCATCATAACGGTGAATGTTCCCCTGTTATACAGTGTCTCTACCTTAACATCAAAACTAACAATCTCACAGCAACTTAAAATAATGAGGAGAGACTGTCCAGTTGTCCTGAAACAAACAAATAACTCTCCCAGCATGAGAACTGATAACCTGCCCTGCAGGGTTTACACTGAGCTTTGCAAGTCCAAAATAAACTCATGAATAACTTTAAAGTGACATTCAGATGCATAAAAGTAATATATATATATATATATATATATATTCTGTTTGAAATCTAGCAGGATCTAACAGTCCAAAAGTTCAAATAAGATGTCTACTTCCAAAAACATGCGAGAAGACGAGACAGGATAGATTATTACTGTAACTCAGTCATTTAATGTGAGCTCACTTAATGCTTTAGTTAATGCTATCATAGCTGATAGCTCCTGCTTCATATATACTGTTTTCTGATGGTAATCAATACAAATGATAGGCAGTTGGTTTCAGCATGATCAGTCACTGAAAATAAGACAAATGAGGCATCAACCTGACGAGCCAGCGATCGTGTTTTTACTGCTGCTGTGCTGCCGTACAATGACCAAGGCTGCGTTTTACTGGTTTTGGTCGATTTTCGGTAAAGTGTAGCCAACTTTTGACAGCTTAGATCCTGTTTTTTATTTCTTTTTGATGCAGTCATCTTTACGTTCCGCCGTTCTTATCAGTCTTTGCTGTGCTCTCTTCTTCTGTGGTTTCCAGGCTCACCTCTTGTTCGGTGAACAATGCAACCTGAGACAACAGAAGTGATTCTGCCCCCTTCAGTCCATGTGTTGAACTGTAGTTACAAATTAACTTTTACATGACTAAATACCATGCTGCATCAACATTAAAATGCTGCGTCAACTTATTTTTATAATTGCATCATCATTTATGTCGACTAATAGTTTTAGCCCTAATGTGAACAAACAGTTTTGATTGTCGTGTGTAAACGTGTTTGTCCAACATGTTAAAGTACAACTTATTTACCTGTAACTCCTCAGACTGAACAGGTCTTATAGAGAAGACGCAAAATGTCTCAACAAAAGAACGTGTCCAGAGGATCTATTCAACTTTATTTGCACCAAYTGTGACATCATTGCACCGTTCATACACCTGCCTCTCTGATGATCTAGGGGTGCATTATTGATTCTGGCTTTGAAATCTTACAGATATGAAAAACAACATTACTCAATCCAGACAATAATCCTGCATCCATTACAATAGCTTCAGATTAGAATAATCCAGGTGCTGAACTGGACTTTTCCCTAAAAAATGATTGGAGTTCCTAGATTGAAAATAATTTACACAAACTACAGATGTTTGTAACTAAATATGGGTTCATGAAAACACCTAATTATTGCTGTTTGTTTAACTTACATTTACACAACATTCCTGGTTTTCAGAACTGAGGTTGACACTATTTTTAAAATCCTTTTAGGCAGCCACAATATTTTTATGTTTTAGCAGAAATGAAGTATTTACCTGAGAAGTGTGAGTTTATTCGTTTACATTAAAGGAATGTATTAAGAGTCACAGACACACACAGGGGAGCATCATGATGTATAAATCCTCTCCAGGTGTGTTCAGTTATTGAAGCAGGACTTCAGGTTTCATCCTGGATCCCTCTTCTTTTCAGCTGCTGTTCGTTCTTATTTATCCCAGAGTATCTCCAGCTCTTTGTTGTCTGTGAAAGCTGAATGTTACAAACCTGCAACAACACTGTGTAGAGGTGTAGATACTATAAATTTGTTTTACTGCTGTTGTGCCTGCTGTTGCTTTCTTTATCTCAAAATACAGCTAGAAAAAGAAACGTGTTGAATAAACTGTTAAACTGTAACTCTGTTCTCTTGTTAAAATCTCACATTCTAAGGCTGAGCTCCAAATGGTTGATGTTAAAATTTGTGACAATAAAGCTTCTTATGCACCCAGGTTCTTGTCTTTTGTTGTTTCAACTGTTAAAATTGTATCGAGTGTGGGCTGTCGTTTGTAAAGTTACACAGTCAAAAATTACCACCAATATTTTTGTTTTATTTAGTTATTTTTCAAAGTCAGTTTTTCACCATATGATTCATACATTTATAAATGTCATAGTTTATAAACTAAATATTTAACTTACAAATTATTTAGTTAACAAGCTAAATATTTAACTTGTGACTTAAATATTTAGTTTTAAGCTAAATGTTTAGCTTGAAAGTTAAATATTTAGGTAGCTACCTAAATATTTAA